TTAGCAGTCAAGTGCCTTAGCCACTATGCTACCAGAGCTCCCCATTAGCCATTAGAGAGATGCAAATCAAAACAACAATGAGATACCATCATGCCCCAGCACTACTAGCAAAGTTCAACAAGACAGAAAATAACAAATGCTGGTGAGGATATGGAGAGATTGGGACTCTCCTACACTGCTAGTGGGACTGTAAAATGGTACAACCACTGGGCAAAGCAGTATGACGATTCCTTCAAAAGTTGGAATTAGAAATACCATTTGATCCAGCCATCCCATTACTAGGTATATATCCTAAAGAAGTGAGAGCCATGACAACAGACTTTTGCACACCCATGTTTATTGCAGTAGTATTTACAATAGCCAAAAGATGGAAACAACCTAGGTGTCCATTAACTGAGGAATGAATAACCAAAGTATGGTACATACACAAAATGGAATTCTATGCAACCCTAAAGAATAACGTAGAATCTGAAAACACCGCATAATGTGGACAAATTTGGAGGACATTATGCTGAGTGAAATAAATCAATCACAGAAGGACAAATATTGTACTAGTCCATTGTTGTAAAAGTCAAGGAAAGGTTTATATATGGAAGGAAATTTTCTTTGTTGGTTACCAGGGATGGGAAGTGAGGATAAGGAACACTGTTCAATAGGTAGAGATATGTATTGATTTGGGTGAAGAGAAGGGCAATGTATTAAATGTGAGTGATCAACATGGTGGCATTGAGGAAGAGGAAGACATAGAGAGGTACATGGGAGGTACAGACAACAAAGATGAACCCTTTTGCACATACAGTACAGCATTGTCAGTGAAGGCAATCATGGGTATATGGGTGCATAGATGGGTGGACAGGGTGAACTATTAGGTATGTCTATGAAGTGGGGAGTGTACCCAAGACCATATATAGGGTTGGCAGACAACAGTCCTATAAGTCTATTTGTATGATCTGTAAGAATTCCTAGGTGTATAGTAGAGCTGACAAGGGACAAGGTTGTAATCACTTCTTGGTCACAGCCAGAGGGACCGAGTAGTTGAACTGGTGGACTTGGGACCACAGTTGCAAGGGATATCAAGCTTAACTGGCATACTACCCAAAACATTGTTCCACCTCCTACTTAGGCGAGTAACGACTGGGATCTTAAAAGCTTGCAAGCAGCCATCTAGTTGCAATGATGGGTCTCTCCTTGTCCAGAGCAAAGAAGAATGAAGAAAACCAAAGATTCTTGGAAAGAATTAGTCCTAGCAACTGGTATACCATGTGATCCACAGCCTATACGACTGTGAGACTAGAACTGGATGGTGCCCGGCTACCACTGTCAACCACTCAGAGGGGGATCTATGTAGGAGATCCTGGATAGAGAGGGAGAACAATATGGAACAAAACTCAAAATCATTTGGGAAAAAAAAAAATGGGAGGGGGAGACCAGGTTTGCTGGTCTGACAGAGCCTGATGGAACCACTGAGACTATGGCCCCTAGCTGCCCTTCAGGTCTGGAATTGAACCTATACATGTGGCTTCCAGACAAACAAAAGACAAGCATATGAGTTGAACATTTACCTGAGGTAGATAAACTCCTTGGAGAGAACAATTATGGGAAAAAGAAGGACTGTTTATGCACAGGGAGACAGCTCAGGGGGCAGGAGTGCATGTAGGGATGGACACGGGGAAGATGTAACTATCAGGAGGAAGAGGGAGGGGAGCTGTTGCATTGGGGTAAATTGTAGTCAATGTCATGAGACAATGTGTGTGTGTGTATGGAAACTGAATTTATTCTGTAAATTTTCCCCCCAATCCCCCCCCCCCCCCCCAAAAAAAAAACACCTCGACCCCTATTCCAAACAATTCACAAGATGAATTGCAGACATAAATGTAAAAGCTAAAAAACAAAGTTTCTAGTATAGGACATAGGTGATCTGTCAGACCTGACTCATAGCGACCCCTCCTTGGGTTTCTGAGGCAGTATCACTATGGAAGTAGATTGCCCCATCTTCCTTCCGAGGAGTGGCTGATGGGTTTGAACCACCAGCCCTCTATTTAGCAGTCAAGTGCCTTAGGCACTACACTACCAGAGCTCTGATCTTGGGAAAAGGAATGATTTATTTAAAAAGACATAAACTGCATTAAACTTGAAAGAAAAACAATTGCTAACTGACTTTATCACAATGTAAATGTTCTACTTGTCAAGACACTGTTCTGAAATGAAAAGGCCCACCACAGGCGGAAAGACAACACTCACAAGACAAGGATCTGAAAAGGATTTACGGTTTCAATATATGTCAATCACAAAAAGACAACTCAGTGCACGTGGACAAAGTATGTGAACACACACTGCACAAAAGAAGGTATGTGAACGCCCAATAAACACATGAGAAAGTGCTCACCATTGTTAGCCATCAGAGGGATGCAAATTAAACTCACACTACGGTACCACCTCCTGTCCATTAGAGTGACGAAAATGAAAAATCGGGCAATGCCAAAAGCTGACAATGGGAAGAAACTGGAACTCTCACAGAATGCTGATGGCAGTGAAAAGTGGTGCAACTGCTTTGGGACAATTTGAGGTAATTTCTTAGGATGTGAAACCTATACTTACCTTATGACTTGGCAATTCTACTTATAGGTACTCAGCCAAGAAACATGAAAGCAGAGAGTCCACAAAAGATTTGCACATGAAGGTTTAAGAACATTTAATCTGCAATAGCTCCAAATTGTAAATAATTCGAATGTCCATAAACAAATTGTGAGTCTTAATGATGACCTACTATTCAGCAATATAAAGCAATCAACAACTGATCCACAGCTGTAGGAAAGCTACCATGCCGAGACAAAGAAGCTAGGTACAAAGGTGCACACCCCGAATGACTGCAGGACCCTGTGTGACCTGTGTGACCCTGAAGAGCAGGAAAACAGTGATAAAAATCGGATGCCATCTGGGCTGGAGACTGCCCAGCCAAGGGCAGGTGGGGGCTTCTTGGTATCTTCAGAGTGCCACTGCTTACATGAGTGTCTGTATTGTTTTAAACTCATAGAAGTGTGGCCTTATGTCCACTATAAACAGCAATACAAATCTAACTAAGAGATTAGCCCAGTTGCCAAACTGTTTTACAGAAATAAGCCTCACTGTGGACCCACCATCTTCAGCCAGATAAACCACAATGTCATCCTTGGAGTTTGGATAAAGGGGTTCCATCTCCAGGCCTGTGGGGGTATACATTGGCTCAGGATAAGGAGTCCAATCTGACAAAAGCAAAAAAAAGAAAACATCTTTTGAATATGATCTTAAAGTCAAACAGAAAAAATTTCATTATGTATTTACAAATGACTCATTGGTAGACTGAGGCTAATTTTAGTGTTTATGTAGGGCTGGATTTTACCAAGGGTTCACTGGACATAATATCAACATTGTCACTTATAACCATGCCTTTCATCTGCACCTTGTTCTACATGATTGTTAACTGGCTCATGATTATTTCGTTCTCACTATAGATTTGACTAGAGCTCTGGTAGTGTAGTGCCTAAGGCACTTGACTGCTAACCAGAAGGCTGGTGGTTCATACCCACCAGCCACTCCTTGGAAGGAAGACTGGGCAGTCTACTTCCATAGTGATACCGCCTCGGAAACCCAAGGAGGGGTCACTATGAGTCGGCTGACTCGACAGCACTGAGTGAGAATCCTGATACAACTGTGAATTACTATGTTTTGTAGGGTTAACTCAACAATATAAAACCAAGTAAGTGATAACAAGAAAGCCAGACACAAATATAATTAAATAGGTAAATATATAAAATATAAATATATAATTATAATCATCATTAAATATTATAATTATAATTAAATATAATTAAAAAGTGAGATATTTAATAACTGCAAACTTAATCAACTCAAGTAAAATTTACTAGTGCACTTGTAACACAGCATCTACTCTGCACACTGGGAATTTCAATGCTTTGCCTGTGTGCATGCTTGTTTTCAAAAGTAGCACGGTAGCCAGACTTCTGAGTTAGAGAGAATGAAAGATTTCATTTATCTCTGCTTATGTCCTTCTTTAAGTTTATAGCAGCACTTACTAGTAAAAAAAAAAAAATCTTTATTGTAAATTAACATGAAACTATTATAAGAACTGCAGAAAGCTCTTGAACATCCGGGCGAACGCTGCAGTGAGATTTTCCGAAGTACCCTCACTGAAGACCATATATATACATTGGGTTCAAGTTTACAGAGCAAATTGGTTCCCATTCGGCAATCCACACACATTCTGTGACATTTATTCAATCCCCACATGGTAACAGCATGTTTCCCACTTCCTCCCTACACCCATCCCTTCCCTTCCTCTTCCCTTCTCATCCCCTTCCGCCTTCCTAGCTCTGTCCCTGGGCAAGTGCTGTCTTCTTGATCTCACATGCTTGATTGTTCTAATGAGTGTTCTAATACCTTCCTGATATTACTGTTCACCTGAGAGGTCTATCATTTGGCTGACAGTTGAGTCCCAGGGTTAAGCTCAGTTCCTAGCTTAAAGGGTGTCTTAGGGCCACAGTCTCAGAGGCTCCTCTAGTCTTCATCAGTCTAGTAAGCCTGCTCTTTTTCATGATTGAGTTTTGTTCCACATTCCCCCCCACTCTATTCAGGACCTCTTTTGGGGATCCCTTTCAGAGTACCATCTAGTTCCTCGGACAGAAGACTACATTTTGAGAATGCATCTTAACCCACTTCAGACTAGTTCTTCACTTTCCTTGTCCCATGCCTGCTAAAACTGTGATCTGCATTGTATTTGAAACAGAGTAGACAGTTAAATGCTGGTAAACTGGATGGATGGATGAATAACAAACTCAGATGGGGAACTTATCTATACACACCTCCCATTTAAATGATGCGTGCTGGTTATGGCCATAAGTGTCTTAGAATCTGCAATCTCTTCACTGTACACAGCAGGGATTTGGGCTGGAAATGAAGTTTTCCCAGATTTTTTGAGTACTGTACATTCAAGAATGCCACCTGAAATGGACTCAAACATCTACGTGCGTGCCTGATATCGACTCTTCTTGATTATTACCCGTGGTAGCTTTTGCAGGTGTCTTTATGTCAAATAGCCTGGCAGGATGTATATTCCTTTAGCATCTTTTCATTATCAGAATCTCCTGCTAGCCTTGTTGATGTCTGACATCCAGAAACCATTTGAAGAAGGTAGTGGTCATCTCTGTCCCAAGAGAACTCAGAGGCCTGCGTGTAACAATGTTCTGTTTTCCAGTTCTCATAAAACTTGAGGTGCCAGAATGGCACTGTGTTCCTCCAAGTTCTCTGTGGTTCAAAGCCACAGTTGCAGAAGAATGTCACACTCGCTCAGCATTCCCCACGTGACAGGAGCACCCAGTCACCCCCACTTCTAACGGAGCACCTCATGAAGTTTTTTGCTTTGCTTCACCTCCTTTCTCTGCAGGCCTGAGATCTAGGTGGGAGGTCAATGTCTGAGACAACATAGTGCCCTCTGCCCTACAGCAGACACTTCATTGTCTTTTAAGAAAAAACAAAGAAAAGAAACATCTCTCATGCAAATAAGAACTCCTCAAAGCCCAAACCACCAGTCTAGCACGCAGGCCTGGGCATATGTAAAATAATTTAACTTAAAGCTGAGCCCTGTACAAAAATGAATGCAGAGGGCGGCTCTTGCAAAACTCAAAAGGGAATTTTGTTTTCAAGATTTTCATTTGTGTGGTGGCCTCCCTCCTCCCACCCCAGCCTTTATTAGATGAGTTTGTGTTCTGTTCTCTCTGTGAACAATACTGTTCTGGGTGGTGACAATAGAACATCACTTATTCAGAAATTCAAGAAATGCAGACTTCGGAAAGTGTCTTCATGATGGTAAATCCAAATCCGTGGGATACAGTAATTTGCCCTAGATATGTCATCCTTTCATGGAAGGAAAATGTCATAAAAATGAACAGCTCCAAGACTAACTTAAAAGACCACAATGGGCTTGGTTTCCTGTTTGTTTGTTTTGATTTTTTGGTTTAACTGACTGAAGAATAAAGTTGGAAGACTGATACCACACAGTTTCAAGACTTCTTATAAAGGCAGCAATCAGGACAGTGTGGTATTGATGAAAGAACAGACAAATAGGTCAGTGGAGCAGGATGGAGAACCCGGAAATAGACTTGCACAAATATTGTCAACTGATGTTTGAGAAAGGAGCAAAAGTGGGTCAGTGAAGAAAGGGCAGTCTTTGCAACACATGGCACATGCACACGTATGTGCACAGAAAGATAGAGATGCAGGCCTTATACCTTGCACAACATTTAACTCAAGACGGACTGTAGACATGAATGTTAAACAAAAAACTACACAACTTCTAAAAAGTAATACAGGAGAAAATCTAGGTGGCCTTGGGCTTGGCAACGAGTTTTTAGATACAACACCAAAAGCATAATCCATAAAAGGAAAAAGGGGACTTCATTAAAATGAAAAACTTCTGTTCTGTGAAAGATACTTTTAAGTATGAATGAAAAGATAAGCCATAGATTGAGAAAAAATATTTTCAAAACTAATAAAGAACTTGTTTTCAAGATATACAAGAACTTTTAAAATGCAACAAGAAAACTAACCACCCAATCAAAACATGGGCTAAAGATCTGGCCAGTGACCTCACCAAAGAAGATACACAGGTGATGAGTAAGCACATGAAAGATGTTCAACGTCATATGTAATTGTTGTTGTTATTTGCCGTCGAGTCGGCCCCGACTCATAGCGACCCCTTCTTGGGTTTCCGAGGCAGTATCACTACGGAAGTAGGATTGCCCAACCTTCCTTCCAAGGAGTGGCTGGTGGGTTTGAACCGCCAGCCTTCTGGTGAGCAGTCAAGTGCCTTAGCCACTATGCTACCAGAGCTCCTTCATATGTAATTAGGGCACTGAAAATCAGAACCACAGTGAGACAGCACTACACACCTGTCAACATGGCGAAGATAAAAAGCAGTGACACCCAAATGCTGGCAAGGTGCAGAGAAATCAGATCACTAACAAAGAAGAAAGACATTTTCAATTAACATTATTTCCCTTTCTAAAACAACAATACAAATAAACACAGATGGTTTTAGGGTAATCCCACCAAATTTTAAAAGAATAGTTAATTACAGAAATATTTAAACTATTTTCGAACACAGTGAAAGGAGCTCTGTTGGCATAGTGCCTACCGCATTTGACTGCTAACTGGGTTGTGGTTCAAACCCACCAACCACTCTGTGGAAGGAAGACAGGGCAATCTACTTCTGTAAAGATTCATCGCCTCAGAAACCCAGTGGGGGTCGCTGTGAGAAAGAACTGACTCAATGGCAGTCAGTCTGGTTTGTTTGTTTGTTTGTTTGTTTAGAACATAGAGAAGCAACCCTGCATAAGATTTATACAATAACTGAAAAAAAGGCACAAAAGTTAGAAAATTACAAATCAAATTTGTAAATATTAAAGTAAAAATCCTGTATAAAATATTAGCAGTCAGAATTCAACATGCTAAAAATAAAATACAATGACCAAGAACAGTTATTCTAGGATATGCAGCTAGTTCAATATTAAGAAACCTATTACTTCACCAAAGAGTTAAGTCAAAAGAGAACATCATTATGATCTCTCCTCTCCATAGATATTGACACGGCATTTAATAAAAGTTAGTACTTATTCCTGGTAAAGTCTCGATAATATAAGACTAACTGGATAATATAAGACTAACCGTTTCTTAATGGGATCAAAAGAAATACATTTCAAATCCAAAGCCAACATTTCGCATAGTAAGAATACACTAAAAGTGCTCCCATTAAGGAGAGGAGCCAGATCAAAGTACCACTAGCATATGACATTTCCTTAAAGTACCAGTCGAAGGAGCTCTGGTGGTATAGTGGTTAAAGCATTAGGCCGTTAACCAAGAGGTTGGTGGTTCAAAATCACCAGCGATCCTCTACGGAAGAAAGATGAGGCAGTCTGTTTCTGTAAAGATTTATAGCTGTGGAAACCCAATTGGGTTGTTAAAAGTTGGAATCAACTTGATGGCAGTAAGTTTGGTTTGGAAAGTACCAATAAATGCATTTAGTCAGGAAAAACATGAGGTACCAAATTAGAAATGAGAAGATGTAAGTACAGTATCACCAGACGATGTAACTGCACAACTAGAACACATGGTCACCGGGGGCACTCGGTCACTAGCTGAAACATTGGCGGTTTGAACCACCCAGAGCCATCCAAGAAGACAGGCCTGGCAATCTGCTTTTGGAAGGTCACAGCCTTGAAACTGAAAATTCAATGGAGCAGTTCCACTCTGCACACACGGGGTCACCATGCGTCAGAGTCAACGTGACGGCAACTAACAGGGTCAATGTATAAAACTCGGAGACTTCCCTTTATATAAATAAGGTATATGATGAAAAAATGATTCTATTTGAAATAGCAACAAAATAAGTAAAATACCCATCATAAACTCACAAAAGGTAAAGGAAAAAAGTCAAAACTCTACCAAGGGAGATAAAGGAAACCTACAATACTTAGTGAGACGTCCCTTGTTCTTGGATAGGAAGACACACGATTGCAACTATGTCAACCTTCCTTAATTAACCTATAAATATGATGTGATTACAATGAAGTTACCAATATTAATTCTGGTAGAAGCAGGAAAGCTTATTTTAAAGTCCACATAGAAACTCAGGAAGGTTAAAGAATAAGCAGGGAAATTCTGAAAACAAAAGGTAATGATGGGAACCCCGTCTCCCAGATACCGGGTTCTGGCATAGTTTTAAAGCTACCATATAAAGAATGGGGTGTTGGCAAATGAACAGATACATTAATGGAGTAGAAGAGGGTTCAAAATTAGATCTAGGGTTTAGTATGTCCTAAACGTGGCACTGCCACTCAGTGGAGAAAAGACGACTTAGTTAATAATTTGTTGAAATAACTGGCTAGACATTTAGTTAAACAGCTGGATTGGCTGCTTGTTTCTTGCATCAAAATGGATTCCTGACAGGTCAAAAATTTAATCATGAGAGAACAAACAAAAAACTGACAGTGCTGAGAAATGCAATCCCAGAAATCATAAAGGAATGGATAGACAGAGTAATTACATAAAGATTAAAAATTTCTGTGTTACAAACAAAAGGCAAATGATAAACTGAAGAGGGGATAAAAGGCAACATATACGACATAGTAAGCTAATTTACTGACTATACAGAGAGCACCTACAGACCAAGTTAATAAAGTGCTACCTCACAGCAAAAGGGGCATAGGATTGTAATGGACAATTCACATAAAAATAGGCAACAAATACATGTACAGATGGTCAACTTTAACCTTAAATAATGAATTCAACAACATCATATAGCAACAAAAGTGTACCAGCTGGTAAAGATCAGAACAGGAACTCTTAGGTAAACAGGCACTCTCATCTAATGCTTTTATGACTATAAATTCTTACAAAGATTTTGAAGGACAATATGCCTTTCACCAGAACTCTAGGAATTTATCCCCCAAATGTATTTATATATGTATGTGTATGAATTAGGACACACATTAAAGGATGTCCTCACAGCCAAAGACTGGAAACATCAAATTCATTAATAGGATCCCAGTTAAAGAAATCAGGGTTCATTCACTTCACGAAATCCAATGCACTGGTTTATGAAAACAGAGACAGGTGGACATGGTTGATGGGGAAAGGCTTCCACGACAGATGGCTGGGCAGGACAGGTTCACTGACGGTGGGACTGCAGAGCTCTGTCTTCATCTCTGGCCAAGGCAAGAACGGGAAGGGTCACAGTGTGCTCTCTCAAGTCCAAAACTCCCCTGGTGGTCCTCCAGGGCCAGGCTGTTCCGTGATGGCTTTCCCGAGGTAGAGACAGCCTGGCCTGACCCAGGACCAGAGGGGCACAGAAACCCAGCTGAACTGTGGCCTGGAGGACATCGGCGGCTGAGCTTCATCACACAGACCCGAAGGTCAGCCTGTGCACGCGTGAGGAAGGGCCCTGGAGAACTGCAGGGACCCTCAGGCCTGCCCCAAGCCTCCTTCTCTTGCTGCTCCGTTTCTTCGGCTTTGAAGTGAGTTGTACACGAGGATGTTCTATGGGGCTTTGCGTCCTTTCAAGTATCTGAATTTGTGAAAGCTTCTCATTAATCAATGCAGAAAAGCAAGGTCCAGGACAAGATGCCAGAGTGTGGGAAATGGATTTTCTGAGACGCTAGCTAGCACAGTGGAGAGCCATGAGGACACCAGGGAGCTAACTGGAATTCTTCCCAGAGGAGGAGGTAGTGCATGCTGCAGTTGGACGGAGACCCAGGAATGCTTGCAGATGTTTCAAGGACACAGACTGTGAATAAAAGAGCAGTGGCATGGCACAGAGTGATGGCACAGTGCAAAGTGATGGCCTGGTGCAAAATGAGGCTTTCACACATAAGGCCCTCCTTGTGTAGACACACCAGCAGCGCTGTGACGCCATCCATGGCTCTGGGGGCCTGGGAGACTCAGGCAGAGAGAGGCTGCACCTGCACCTGCACCTATGCACGGCTACCCCCTTTCAGGTGGCCTGGGGGGGGTGTCACAGCACCCCAAAGCCTGTTAACATGCAAGAGATCTAAAATAGGGTGCCAGGAAATCTAGTCACTCTTGAAAGAATATTTCGTCAAGAAAATACATTCAGAATTTTAAGCAAAGAGGCCTGAAATACATCTGCCCCTCTCTGAGAGGCCCTCAGCAGTAAACGTGGGGAGACACTAAGCACCCGGTGGTGATGGGAGCTTTCTCCTCCCTGAGCCACTGACGGCGATGCCCATGACTAAGGGCAAGAGGAAGGCAGAGTGGGAGGTTTTTCTCTTGCCTGTCGGTGGCCTGGGGAGTTGAGGCTGTCAGTGCCTGGGAGAGTCGGAGCCAAAGCTGGGGACACAGATACCACACACAGACCAAAGCTAAACAGTTATACTAACACCTGCATTCTTCAGGCCACACACGCTCAGTATGAACTGAAGTAAAAGTGGGAAAGGAGAGAAGACAGAGATAAGGGGCAAAGAGACAGAAAGTTAGAGGAACAGAAGTGGGGAAAGGGAAAAAAAAAGACGCAAAGGAAGACAAAGATACATACAAAGACTAGGAAGATACAACAAACCAAAAAAAACCAAATCCACTGCTGTGGAGTTGATTCTGACCCACAGCGCCCCTAGAGGCCAGAGTGGAACTACCCCACAGGGTTTCCAAGGCTGTCAACCTTTATAGAGGCAAACTGCCTCAACCTTCTCCTGTGGAGTGGCTGGTGGGTTTAAACTGCAGACCTTCCAGTTGGCAGCTGAGCTCTGTAATCACTGTCCCACCAGGGCTCCTCAGATACTTTAAAAAGAAAGAGAGAGAAAAGGAAACAGTAGAAAAAGGGTCACAGCACAGCTCGCAGTCATTCTGGAAAGCCTGCCTATAACTTCACCTGATCTAGGGGTCTGAGTGGCACTGGGGCCCAGCACTGCTGCTCAGTTGTTTAGACTCACGGAAGCTGCGCACGCACACCTCGAGTTAAGCACCTGTAGTTACTGGGCATCTGCACTCTGGCCCATCCGAGCTGTGATGTCTGTAAGCAGAAATGCCCTCCAGATGTCTAGGACTCACTATGACAGGAACAAATGCAAAATATTTTGAGTATTCTGGATTAAATAACATCTACTTTCGAATGAATCCCACCTGGTTTCTTTTAGCTTTTGAAACGTGGCTACTAGAAAACTTAAGGCTGTGTGCATCTCATGGTCTATTTCTCCTGGAACAGGCTATTCTAACATCATGCATCTCCTCATGGAATCGAGGCTGGCAACATTAGTGTGAGGATGTTGAGTGGCAGACACTACTAAGAACATACCGATATGCTGCACTTTCTCATCGATGACCTCACAGTGGTATGGCCACCGCGTTGGGCTCAGTGGGCCAGAAGAAGAGACACCATAGAGGTCTCGTGGTCCACGAAGACGTGGCACCCATCTCCCTAGCTGATATTCCAGCAGTATCTGTGTTGTCCGCGGGAAAAATAGGTCGCTGATAGAGTCAGCTGAAAAAAGATGCAAATCCAGTTGTAAGTACCAAGAAGGAAAACCCTCATCCTAGAATTTTTATATTGTTCCTTTTCTCCTTTGTGGATATCATTATTATTATTTTACAATTCTTGACATTTCTTTATTTACAAAAGCATACTGAAATTTTTAATAGCCGATCTTCATGATTATCTAAAAAAACAAAAAACAAAAAAACAAACTGATCTTACCCCTCTGAAACTATTGCCCTAAGATGATCTGTAGAACTTAAACCAAAAATAGCTCCGGAGGTCTGCTTAAAACCAAACAATAGTTGAGTTTAACTAGTGAGGAATGTTGGCCTTGAGTGCCAGCCAGTTGGGATGAAACCGACAATAGCAACTCGAAAGATGAGACAGGTACCTGGGGGACAGTGAGTTTATGTCAGTGGGGGAGGCAACTCAAGCCCATGAAGGAGGATGAGAACGGCGTGACGTGAAGAACGTCGTGTCAGTGAAGTGGACATGCACGAACTAGAAGGCACGTGTACTCTTGCTGTGCGTATTCACAACAATAATACATTTAGTAAGAAAAGTTGATCTCATGTACTATTAATTTATGCTAAACTGTCACTAAAAAGGGAAAAAAAAACCAACCCATTGCCATTGAGTTGATTCCAACTCCTAGCGACCCATAGGACACAGCAGAACTGCCCCACAGGGTTTCCCAAGCTGCGTGTCTTTACAGTAGCAGACGGCCTCACCTTCCTCCCGCAGAGTGGCTGGACCTCTCCATCAGCAGCCAAGCCCTTTAACCACTGTTCCACTGCTCCAAAAAGTCTGTTGCTTGCAGCTTTCCTAGCAAACTGTCTACTTTTGGCTCTTTTTGAACTTAATCACATTAAGGTAACAATTTCTCTAGTAAGTTTAATATATCCACTGACTATAATTCCGTCAGTATGGATTACACCTCAACATAAAACAAAAATCTTCATAGCTGGACCAATAAGCAACATCATGATAAATGGAGAAAAGACTGAATTTTCCAGGGATTTCATTTTACTTCGATCCATAATCAATGTCCATGGAAGTAGCAGTCAAGAAATCAAGTGACATATTGCATTGGGCAAATCTGCTGCAAAAGATCTCTCTAAAGTGTTTAAGACCAAAGATGTCACTTTGAAGACTAAAGTGTGCCTGACCCAAACTATGGTATTTGCAATAGCTTCATATGCACATGAGAGCTGCACAATGAAAAGGGAAGACCACTGAATAAATGATGCCTTCGAATAATGGTGTTGGCAAAGAATATTAAATGTACCATGGACTGCTAGAGGAACAGAGAAATCTGTCTTGGAACAAGTATAGTCGGAATGCTCCTTAGAACCAAGAATAGCCAGACTTCATCTCTCATACTTTGGTCGTGTTGTCAGAAGGGAGCAATCCCTGGAGAAGAGTATCAGGATAGGTAGAGGGTTAGTGAAAAGGGGGAAGATCCTCAATGAGATGGACGGACATAGTGGCTGTGAGGACAGACACAAGCATGACAATGACTCTGAGGATGGTGCAGGATCAGCCAGGGTGTTGTGCTGTTGTTCATAAGGTCACTGAGTCAAAATCAACCCTGCGGCACATAATTCCTCACCACTTCTCGGTAACTGGATTCTCAAAGGTTACCAGTGGCCTCTCAACCACAGCTGTTTCTCCTCTCTCCTTCGAGGACGTCACATGGAATCTAATGAGGCCTTTCCCACTGTGCTGTGCGGTGTGGTGATATCCATACTCACACCTTCTGTAAGCCCATGTCCCTTGTTTTTCATGCTATATTTCCTGCCCTCTCCACCTCTCACATACTTGGTTCTCCATTTGTCTCACTGACTTTTGCTATTCCACCTTGAAATGCACCTTTTAACTTACATTTAGTAATCGGCTATTTCTGTATTATAGCAAATACAGCAACTGGACTAGGAGTCAGACAAACTGGATTCTATTCCACCACTTGGTCTCAGTATGATTTTGGGCAAAGCAGCCTCTTTGAATAGAGACCTTACTAAGTGAAATAGGGATAATATCAGTCTAACTACTTAAGACTGTTACCTACATCACTCATTTAACACATAGTTACTAAGCACTTACTATGTGCCAAGGATGGGGATTCCAGAACACTTAAATGTGCTCATAAGGAACCTGTACACAGATCAGGAAGCTGTCATTTGAACAGAACAAGGGAATACAGCATGGTTTAAAATCAAGAAGGGAGTGTGTGGGGGTTGTACCCTTGCACCATACTTATTCAATCTGTATGCTGAGCTTATAATCTAAGAAGATCGACTATATGAAGAAGAACGCAGCATCCGCATTGGAAGAAGACTCACTGACAACCTGCAGTATGCAGATGACACTACCTTGCTTGCTGAAAGTGAGGATGACTTGAAGCACTTACCGATAAAGATTAAAGACCACAGTCTGCAGTATGGATTACACCTCAACATAAAGAAAATGAAAATCCTCACAAATGGACCTATAAGCAGCATCATGATAAATGGAGAAAAGATTGAAGTTGTCAAAGACTTCATGGTACTGGGATCCACCATCAACATCAATGGAAGCAGCAGCTGAGAAAACAGACATCATATTACACCGGGCAAATCTGCTGCAAAAAACTTCCTCGGGGTGCTAAAGAGCAAAGACGTCCCTTGGAAGACTAAGGTGTACCTAACCCAAGCCACGGTATTTTTAATCGCTTCATACGCATGTGAGAGTTGGACAATGAGTAAGGAAGACCAAAGAAGAGTTGATGCTTTTGAGTTGTGGTGTTGGCGAAGAACAGTGAAAGCACCATGGACTGTCAGAAGGACAAACAAATCTGTCCTGGAGAAAGTGCAGCCAGAATGTTCCTGGGAAGTGAGAATGGCCAGACTTCATCTCCCCTACTTTGGCCATGTTGTCAGAAGGGACCACTCCCTGGAGAAGGACGTCATGCTGGTAAAGTAAAGGATCAGTGAAAATGGGGCAGACTCTCAACAAGGTGGACTGACACAGTGGCTGTAATGATGGGCTCAGGTGCAGCACGGATTGGGAGGATGATGCAGGGCCAGGCAGCGTCTCGTTCTGTTGTACATACAGTTGCTATGAGTTGGAGCCAACCTGACAGCACCTGACGACAACAGCATGTGCTAAGTAGAGGAGCCCTGGTGGCACAGTGGTTAAGTGCTCAGCTGTTAACAAAAAGGTTGACGGTTTCAACAGCCTCTTCATCGGAGAAAGATGTGACAATATGCTTCTATAAAGATGCCAGCCTTGGATACCCTAGAAGGCAGTTCTACTCTGTCTTACAGGGTGTTGATGAGTCGGAGTTGACTGATGGCAAGCGGTTTGGTTTTTGGTTTATGTGCCAAGTAAGGAGTTTGACTGCTAACTGACAAGTTGGTGGTTGGGATCACCCAGCTGCTTTGTGGGATAAAGGCCTGGGGATGTGCTCCCATAAAGATCACAGCCTAGAATGCCCTGCAGGGTAGTTCTACTCTGTTGCATGGCATCGCTAGGAGTTGAAAACCAACTCGAGGACACTTGACAACAGCAATGTACCGAGCAGTATAGGCAGGTATTGGTTACAGAGGTGAGAAAGTCCAGGCGCTTGCCAACGTAAGCTGACACTGCAGTAGGAGAACACATAATTAGTAGAAACACAAGGCAATTTCAAATGGTGATAAATCCTATAAGAGAAATAAGAGAGTAACAGAAAATGAGAAATGAGGGAATACTACTTTAGAGAGGGTGGACACCCCTTCTGAGAAGGGTGGCGTCTGAGCTGAGACCTGAATGAGGAGAATGCAGCCCAGAGGTCTGCTCTGGACACATCTGACAAAGCTTAGAAGCATGAAGTCATGAAACCTACCAGTGTGTCAGGTCAAGTTCAACATTCCCTAACAGAACTCAGAATGCAGCCATCAACAAAGAAAACTCACAAGGTCAGCCAATCAAAAGCTAACATCCAAGAGTCCAGTTCCACCACGGCCACCCAACACACCACCCTCCCCCTCCTCTGATTACAGCTCATGAAATGCAAAAATCAAACCAAAACACAACACACAACTTTCTGAGAAGTCTGAACAGTAAACAAAACAGGCAGGCTGTCAAAACGTGGAAAAGAGACCCATAGAGTAGAGGTGAGTTTCTCACTCCTGGTGTTTCTGGCTACTTTGTCCCAAAGGCCACTCTAGAAGAGACAAACAACAGTGGACAGAAAGCCAGCCACGGCTGCTCAGGGCCAGGGGTGAAGGGGAGGAAGGGACTGACTGCAAAGAGGCACAGGGAGCTTTCAGACCTTGATTTGGGTGATGGTTACTGAGCAGCCTAAGTGACCAAATCTCAGACTGAAACCCAGTTTCTCTTAACAGAGTAACCAGGAAAAGGAGCTTATGGTGTGGAGGGGATCCAAGGACAGAAGGAACCCCACAACGCTATCTCCTTCTGTGTTGGAACCTGCAGAACTCTCAGCCTGAGCTCTGCACCTGTAGGACAAACTCAATTAGCACAGACAAGACTTTGTGAATGGAACTGAAATTGAACCACACACCAAGTCTCTCAGTTTAACCCTTGAATAACACATGAGCAAGATAATGCTGAACTGATGTAGGAAAAGCTTAGGAAATGAAACAGCAATTTCAATTCCTAAAACAAGTCTCAGATTAACACCTGAACTACGGAGGTTGGGACAAAACCACATCAGCATAGCAAAGGCTTACAAATCTGAACGAGACTTGAAAAGTGCCCACAGAAGGGGAGATAGAACTTAGGGTCTGACACTAACTGGCTGAGTGCTTGGCAGAAGCAAAGCGTTGACACTGACAAGAAGGTGCCAGAATCAACATAGCACTGCATTCATAATGGAGGAACCGGGACTCTGACCAGTTCTCAGGGGAAAAGACAATCAGCAACTGCCAACCATGAGACTTCCCAGATGTCAGAACTATCTGAGACAAGGACTTGAAAGGAGGGATTACAGTTATGCTCTGTGAGGTAAGGGAAGCACACCTGGAATGAATGAAAAGACAAGAATTCTCGCAAAGAAGTAGAAATGAAAAGAAAGAAACACATGGAAATTTTAAAACTGAAAAATACAGTATCTGAGAATTTGAAAACTCACAGTATGGGTTTAATAGCAGAATGGAGATGATGATATAAGGTCAACCAAACCAAAAAACCAAACTCACTCCACTGAGTCGGATCCAACTCATAGTGACCCCTCCTTGGGTTTTCGAGGCAGTATCACTATGGAAGTAGATTGCCCAACCTTCCTTCCGAAGAGTGGCTGCTGGGTTTGAACCACCAGCCTTCTGGTTAGCAGTCAAATACCTTAGGCACTATGCCACCAGAGCTCATGCAAATAGATCATTATATGCAACAAAATGGATAAATCTCAAAAGCACTATGCAAAGTGAAAGAACTTGCAAAATACAACCATACATGATGTATGATTTTGTTTCTATGGAATTCTAGTGGACAGAAAGCAAATCAGGGGTGGTCTGGAGCCAGGGGTGAAGGGAGGTGGGGCCTGACTGCAGACAGGTACTGGGAGCTCTGGGTGACAGAAATATCTTACATGGTGATTTTGGTGATGGTTAAACATTAGACTTTAGTCAAAACTTATTGAACTGTACTCTTAAAATTGGGTGAATTTTGTTGCATGTATATTAAAAGCTGATTTTATAAAGCAAAATCTGCACAGGCTGCTATTGAGGTAGATTAGTATTATGTGACTTTTGAAGTTAAGTCTACAGCAAGATGCCCCCATCACATACATCGGTGAATGAATGACTTTATTAAAACCAAAACTCCAAACTCACTGCCATCAACTTGATTCTGACTCCCAGTGGCCTCATCGTTCTACCACAGAGCGGCTGGTGGGTTTGAACCACTGTCCTTGTAGTTAACAGACAAATACCTTAACCACTACACCACCAGAGCTCCTTTGACTTTACTAAGGAAACCCTTTATACGGGCATGCTTCATTTAAATCAAAGATATATTTTCAAAACATTGTGTTTATTATAACTGGAGTTGTAGTATAAATGCTTTTATGGAGCTAGCTATTTAAAGAAATGCCAAGGTAAATCCTTATGTGAAGACCTTCATAAAGAAAAAATCATCACCTTCACTTAGCTTCACTTACATTTTCTAATATAAATCAAATTTACCTAAAATAAACCTGACGAGTTTGAACCCCAAGACTCTTATAAAAGCTGGTATGACACATACATTTTCCAGATCTTTTTTCCCATCTCTGTCTCTCACCAACCAGAAAAATAATTCCCTATGTTACTCAATCTAACTTTCAATTTCTTCTATTTAGTTTTCATCTACTCAAGGTTTTATTACAAGGGAAGGAAAAATATATGGGTGAGTTCAAACCTGTGAAAAGTGCACACGGATGGATATCTTCACGTACAAATGCCATAAAGTTATCCTCATCCTCATCCTAAGACAGAATTGAAAGAAATGTTTCCCTTTTAAAAATCAACAGTTTCTAAGCCCAGAAAAGGTCTCTACTTCTATTGTAACACTTGGAATTTAAGTCTATGCGTTTAGTCTTTAATAGCTTGGGGGGGGGGCGCAACATTATAATTAAAAGATTGGCCTCAAATCACCCAACACTTCAAATATCCTGAAAGTTTAGGTTCCATCTTTCATTCCTCTTCTTCTACCTGGTATGGGCACTGAATGACTACTGGGAAGGAATGAACTTTGGAGGTTCACGGTATACGTGAGAAAACAAGCAAATTAACACTGATTACAACCAAAAGGGAAACACAGAAAGCCAGAACTAAAAGGGTTATCTTTTACATCTTGGGGAGCATTATTTAGGGACTTTAATTTACTAAAAATGAAGGAAATCTCTCAGAAACATGTACTAGAACCAGACAACATGCTTTCAAATACTACAATTTGATTTTTCTTGTCTGTCTTCTTCTGTGTTCTTTCTTTTGTGACCTCAGAGCCACGCAAAGCTGCTACGGGGACACACAGAGCGATCGGAACACACCAAGTTCCACTCTTCTGTCCAGTTGTTGTTGTTCTGTGCCGTGGAGTCGGGCCCGACTCATGGCGACCCCTCGTTGGTTTCCAAAGCAGTATCTCTACGGAAGCAGATTGGCCAACCTTCCTTCCGAGGAGTGGCTGGTGGGTTTGAACCGCCAGCCTTCTGGTTAGCAGTCAAGTGCCTTAGGCACTATGCTACCAGAGCTCCCCACTGCGTATCATGATGTAACAGTACAATCAGAACACACAAGCAGCAGATAGACTTACTGAAACCAAACCCCGACTGTGATTCAATGCACACATTTTTATAAAGCACAGAGGAGCCGGAGCCCAAACATTTTCTCAATAAAACAAGGTCAGCCAAGTTTCTCTTTCTGGACAGGACATGCTACACAGAAATAGCTTTCCAATCATTCATTCCCCAACTTCACAGACATCCACAAACATCCAACTGGTTTTCATACTGAATTGACTTACATTTAACTGGGATTCTACACGGGATATCATAAAGTTCGTTTTAGATTAAGTAAAATAAAGTTTAGAAAAACATACTGACTCATCTTCGTCACTGACTGAATAATCTTCCTTTTCCGAGTCTTCTGACATCTCTTCCAAAGTTGGGCTTGCGAATTCTTTACGTGTGGAGGCTGTAAAACAATTTCTAAGGAACTTATTTGATGCCTTTTTAAGCTGACTATAGATACTCAAAAAGATCGTCCATTGTGTTTAATTAACAGTGGCCATCAAACCCAACCAAACCCATTGCTGTGGAGTCAATTCCGACTCGTGGAGACCCTGTAAGACAGAGTAGAACTGTCCCATAGAGTTTCCAGGACTGTCAGCTCTGCAGAAGTAGACTGTCACATCTTCCTCCTACACAACAGCTTCCAGCACATAACACATAACAACAACAATAGTCAATTAAACTCTCAAACACTAGAAGAAATCTTCCACTTAAATGAGAAAGACAATCACAATAAAAAGCAATCAAGTTAATAGTTTAATTGGATAGCAATCTCCTGGGTACAAAACCAAATAATTTACATCTTATTTTTTTACAATTAAATACATTCCATATACCACATAATGACAGTGCGTTCAGCATGATCTTGGGGCATTAAAAGATCATGAAACAAAGAACAATTATTTAACTGGTTAGCCGGCTGCCGACTAGCTGACTCTGACTCACGACCGCCTCCCAGGTGTCACACTAGAACTGTGCTCCATAGGGTTTTCACTGGCTGATTGGACACATCACCAGCACTTTCTTCCAAGGCACTCCGGGTGGGTTCCAATGACCAAGCTTTGCGTTACTACCCGGTGCTTGGAAGTGTGGCAAAATATTTTGATTTCAAAATAAAATTTTTGCTTAATTTTCAACAGACCAAAAGTTCAAATGACTACACTAGCCGTTTCTCTTTATATTGTGGTTAACATTACTAAATATAAAAAATTTCTATTTTTTACACTACCACACGCTGAGGTGGGTAAGGGGAGGGATGGTATGGTAAGAATCTGTGACCACCATGATAACCCTGGGGAAAGGGAGGACACCGAATCATGCACATCAGATACAAACGACAGAGGCTAATACAATATACCACAATACTGCATTACCATTAACACCAAACACCAGGCTACAGATAAACACATAGACATCTGAGAAGACCAGACGGGGGTCAGTGAACAGGAGTATGCTCTAGATCAAGGATAGATTCAGCTGAAGCTAATCTTGCACAGATACCAGTGATACAAAATACCTGCAATCCTAACAGAAACAACAGAAGACATAGAGCAATTCCTCACAGACACCCAGACACTGTGGGAGAGAGATCCAATAGATCTATCGACTCAGGACCATAGTACTGGGGGACACTAGACTCAATTGGCACAACAAAATACATAAAAATCTTGTTCCACAACCTACCATGGTGAGAAGCGACTGGGGTCTTGAAAGCTTTCAAGTGGCCATCTAAGATGCAGCTAATGGTCTCCTATCATCGGAAGCAAAGAAGAGGGCAAAAAACCAAGGGCATTTGGAAGCAATCAGCCCAAGGATATGATGGCCCTTGAGACCAGAAAAACTAGATGGTGCCCGGCTACCAATGCCAGCCACTTGGGAAAGGATCAAAACTGGAGATCCTGGATACAGTGGGAGGGAAAATGTGGACCAAAATCCAAAAACACAATAATGACCAGAATTACTGGTTGGAGTCTGGTGGGACCCCCTATACTATGGCCCTGGGATACACTTTGGGCCTGGAATAAAATTCACTTCCAGGGGCTGGCTCTCAGTCCAATAGAAAAGAGGAAGTGCATGCACACCACTCAACTCATGGTGACGCACCCACATACTCTACAGAGATGCATCCCTTGGAGCAATCAACCACGGGGCACCAGAGAGGCAACATTCGCCAGAGGAAATGCAGGACACACAGGAGTGGATAACTTTGAGGGGTATGTGTTTGTGGAGTACTGTTAATGGGAAGGGAGGGAGGAGAGGAGAGTGAATTAGGGTTGGGGATGGTAGCTGAGGAGTGAAACCAAATGTACATGTAATGTTGAATGTAAAGCAAACTGTGCTCTGTAAACTTGCACCTAAAGCACAATCAATCAATCAATCAATAAAAGTGCACCTAAATGTCAAAACAGAGAAATTAATGCCACCAAGACTTAACCGTGTTGTGTTCTGATTCCTTCATTCCACTCAAGACCATTAATAGGCTCAGAGAATAATTACATTTATCAGACTGAAGTGGTGAGTCCACTTACAAGGTCTTTCTAGACACAGTCTCCTTGCTGGAATAAATAAATATAGCTTCTGGCGAGTGGGAATAAACTACTGATCTGAAAATGCATTTTTCTGTATTTTGATCAACAAAGATTATCAGGAAAAATTTGGTTTTAATTGGTAGGGTTAGCAGTACACTTTCAGAGAGGTGGTACACCCCAGCAATTCAAAGCATGAACCCGAGACTCACCACACCTGGGTTCAAAAAAAAAAAAAAAAAATCTGTAGCTACTGTCTGTTCTAATATTCAATCATATTATTTTTGCCGAAACCTCAATAGCTATCAGAAGGTGAGGACCATTAACCTTCTTCGGCAAAAGCATCCTCCCATGTAGTTATCATTAAGAAAAGGGGATAATCAAAATCAAAACCTATTCTATTATTTTTGGAAAGACCAGGAGAACTGGCCAATTTCCAATCTAGGGCTTGATGCTGCACGCTACAGAAAGGCAGTCAGTTTGGCAGTTCACTCTCCACAGCAAGTAACTACAAACGTAGCAGAGACCGTTCTCTAGGCGTCACCTGCAACGGGAAGAGACAGAGTGTGGGTCTGGGGACTACACTGCAAGTCTGGAAACCTGGGTCGGCACAGGTCTTGATTCAGTCTCCGTACGTGAGCACAGGAGGCTCACGAACGTGTGGACCTGCAGCTGGAAAAGACCTCGGCTTGCGGGAAGCCCCCCCTCTGGGACTGAACGGCGCTCCGCGACTACCTCCCAGGCCGGAAGCACAGGAGACTAGAGAAGGCCCGGCCCGCGCGGAGACTTTAGTTTCTTGGTGGGACGGACGATGAAGCCACAACTTGTGCTGGCAAAGAAGTCTCCCGCTCACGTTTCCTTCTGGGCCCGGCAGCGCCAGAAAAAGCGCAACTTCCCGGGCCCTACGGGGCTCCCTCTTTGGCGGAGCGCTGCACCTGCGCTTCGCCTACCCTCTGGCCACCTCCCTCGCCCGTCTTGGCCGGCCCCTGGTTCCCGTCCCGAGCCCTCCGGCCAGGCTAGCCGTCCTTTCTGGGCGAGGAGCAGCCGTTGCCCTCGCGATCACAGAGCCCGTTGGCAGTACTTAGTCTCCGTGGGAGCGCAGCAGGCCCAACCACGCCCTCCAGCGGCACGGCTACGCGTTACCCAGGCAACGGGTCCGCCGTCGCGAGACTTGGCGCGGCTCACAGGGAGGAGTGGGGCGGCCACCCTTCCCTCGGGAATCCTCTCGGGATGTACGTGGTGGGAAAGTCCCGGGGGAAGACGGGAACTCGGGGCAGGGTCGCGGAGTCGGGGAGACTTCTGGGCAGGGCAGATGAAAGCGCCTGGGTCTGGTGGGAGAATTTAGGGGAGGGGAAGGCGGGTTTTGTCTCTGTTTTGCACTTGGTTGCTTTACGTATCTCTTCTCAGCGGAGACAATAGAGCAGCCCACCTGATCTTAGCAGCGTGACCTTGGGCAAATTAATTTTCTTTATCCGTCAAATGGGTGTTATAATTGCAGCTACTACTTGGACTTGTTGTTGTTGTTGTTAAGTGCCGTCGAGTCGTTTCCGACTCATAGCGACCCCACGCACAGCAGAACGAAACACTGCCCTATCCCGCGCCAGCCCCAAAATCCCTGCTATACTTGAGCCCATCATCGCAGCCACTGTATCAATCCATCTCGTTGAAGGCCTCCCCCTCTTTCGTC